TGGCGTGGCGCGGTGCTGCTGGCCACCCAACCCCCTCGTGCGCGCCATGCCGGGCCTTCATAGGTGCTCGCGAAGAACATTTGCCCCAACAGTCTGTTCAAGTTCGTTGTATTTGTGTGTGTGTGTCCTGATATTGAGTGAGTCTCAAAAATAACGGGTTGCTTCAAGGGTGGGGTTTTCTGTGCTGGCTTTAATTTGGGACAACGGTGGTGTGCACCGCACGGGGAAACTAGTGAATGCTGGTTGTGTTCAGTTTGATGTCCTTCCCACCGCGCTCCTCCGATTAGCACGGTTGGCTACGTACGGTGCAAAATAAATTGAACGTACACACACACACACCGGGCCCGGGTTTATAGCTGGGCGGTGCTCATGTGTGGCATAGCGGCCGTAGGATATCTTTAGTCCGGCGACAGAACTTGTCCCGCTGATAGCGGATCAGCCACGTTCATGAATCACACCCGTCAGCTCCGCAATCATTTCACATTCATCGTTTGTCTCTCTTATCTATATTTGTGTTCGTGTTCCTCTCCGTCTTCCTTGTGTACGGTTGTCTGCCATCTCATTGTCCAGTTCCATATTTCTCTCCTTGTATCGCCCTCCTTCTCTCTGCCTTCTCACTCACGTGGTTCTCTCTCCTTACCTCACTCCAGAAATTCTCATTTGAATCCCCATTCTATTTGTCTTCGTGCTGTTTTCTTCCGTCCTACAATTCGCATTTTATAGCCTGACTTCTCGTTCACCTCCGCATTTGTATTTTTTGTTAGCCCACTCCATCCGGCCAGGCGTCTCCAGCGGTAGAGCGAGCGCTTCAGAGTCTGAAGGTTGCGAGTTCAAACCCCGGTTGGGGGTGGGGGGGCAGGTTCATTCAATCAGCCATCCACGGGTCAATAAAACGAGTAAGTACCACTATTGTGGGGAAATCAACAGCGGTCGTTCTACCGATAGACTCGCCCACGCTATAGGCATGTAGAGCTTCAAATCTAGAATGTAGAATTTCCATCACTGGCTCAGGGCTATGGACAGGAGACGAAGCACCAAGACGTTCATCGCTTGAGCAGGAAATCACGGTTGACTTTGACTCCACATGAAGATATGGGGAGGAATAAGATAACTTATTTTGTCTTTCTCCAACTCCTCGATATCGCACCCTTCTCCCCATTGCCTCTGCCGCCTTCAATACGTTCTTTCACCCTCAAGAAAACCTCTCTCTCTGTCTCTCTGAATATCTCATATTCCACTCGGCCCCCTCCACCACTCCCTCCAGCTTAACCACGTGTTTCTTTGTGTTCATGACTCACCCTCTATCTGCCATCCTATCTGCCATGCCTGCCTGTCCTTCCACATATTGCATTCTCTTCTGTTTGATAGATTAAGCATTGTGTACGCTGTGCAGGCGGCTTCACTGGCTGCGCTAAATGAAACATCGCTTGTGCGTCAAACGTTGCGATTAACATGCGGTCGCCGCGACTTTAACCGAGGTTAGAGATCGTACAGAGGTCTGATTCAATGCCACAGGGTCACCAGGTTTTGCCTATCAGATTGATCTCTCACTTGACCGTGTACAGTGAAAAGTACTTACCGCTGAGTCAGGTCATCAAACTTACAGATAGATAGACTGACAGGCATACATATAAGCAAATGCATTTGCTTATACAGCATAAAGGTATTTGTAAATTACGTTTTTAGTCATGTGTAACAATGTCTGGATGTTATTAATCGCAATTTGGATTTGGAGTGAGTTTAACACGAAGGCTATCGCGACCAATATTATTAATCGTAACAACGGTGTTTGGGTTAGATCACGTAAGTATCATTTGGGCGATTCTGCCAAATCGCCCCAATGATACTGGTTGATGTAGTTACCAGCGAAACGTCACAGTACTCAAATTGTAAATGTTGTGGATTTACTCTCCAACACACCGGTCGGCTGAAGTAGTAACTAATTGGCACATTTGGTTTACGTGACAAACCTTACGAATTGGCCGTGTCGGGTGGTGGAGGGTTATGACACATTTACACTTATGCGATCTAGCCCAAAAACCTTTATTATGGTTTTGAAGAGCATTGCATAACATCTATAATGTGTTTGGTTTCCGAGAAAGCTTTTATTTTTGGAAGATTGTGTGTAACTTCTGCGGTTCTGTTCATATGGTAAAAAAAAATCTGAAATAAATAAAAACTTCCCATTTTTGGTTGTTTGTTGACCTTCCCCCTACCTCCGATTCTCCAATTAGCACGGTTGGCTATGTACGGCGCGAAAGAAGTTCAACATGCATCCACGAATGGCAGTACTCACGTGGAAACGAAACTCGAAGCCAAAGAGAAGAAAAAAATGCGTCCTGCATCTGTGTCAATAAATAAATCTGAACAATGCAGAGCTGTAATTCTCAAAACATTACGTACGGTCGGCATTATTCTGCACAGGACTCCTCCAGTAAAAGTAATGTACGTGCTGCACGTCCCAGAGGCTTTAGGGGATGTAACCTTGAAGCCTTGGATTTTGAAGGCTCTAAAAATAAATAAACAGTTCTGTTTCATAATATAAGTACGTATGAATCTTGACTTGAAGCTTTCGTCACTGCAGGAATTCATATTATTTGGGTCTTTCGGTAATGTCACGTAGATAGGTTAAAAAATAAAATAAACCAAAAACTACACGACGTTTCGATCCTATATGTATGTTTAACTTTTTCGCACCGTACGTAACCAACCGTGCTAATCGGAGGCGCGGGGACAAGGACAACAAACTGACCACGTGTTTGAAAACACAACACTATAGCACTGTGATACATCTGTAACTAAATGAGAAATTAATAATTGAAGCCATTGCATCACAATAACCAATTCATTATATGCCGAAATATAAAAACAAAGCTTAATTCGTTTTTATTTTACTTTTGTTTAGCTTTACAAACATTATATCACGTTGACAAAAGCAGAACTGAGATAACCAAGGTATATAACTACAGAGTGTTTGGCATTGCACGTGGGTGGTGGCCGTGATGGCAGCGGTGGTGGTGAAACAGCGGAGAAACAGAATGTGCAAAGAGGGGACTCCACAACTACAACAACCCGGGGCCCCCATCAAACGTAATTTGGCCCTGTCTTCTCAGCCTTCCCGTATCAGCCTACCCATGACACGTACCCTCTCACAGCAAACCGCCTCCCTCTATTGGTGCTGCGGTGGCGAGATGTTAACTACCTCGCCTGGTATGCAGGAGGTCGATCCTGACGCCTGTATATTACGCATGCATATTTGGAGTTTGCATGTTTTTCCCCGTGGATTTTTCTCCGGGTCCTCCGTATTTTTATTACCTCCACATTTAGAAACGTTGCGTTTAGAGTATTTGGCTGCTTTACATTCCCACGCGATAAGTCACTTCATTGAGCTATTATTTGTGATGGCCAGGTCGCTTCTGAAAAAAAGAGCTACTGTGTAATAGCTCGTTGGGGCCTTGCCTGGTAAATTAAATGTTTTTGTTTCGTTTCGTTTATCGTGATATTTTCGAATTGGCGCTCCCTAGCAGCTGCAAGTGGCACCAACCGGTCAATCTCCATCATCAGCAAACACCCAAACCCTGAGTCTTGTCTCGATCTCCCTCCTCTCACGACATCTCTATTTTCGTCTACATTTCTATCATCTCGCTACATCCCCCTCTCCAATTTGCTCTGTGATGCGCCTGTGCTACCATTCCTTATTTTGAATGCACTCCTGGTTCTGCCCTGACCATTCCACGGCTTTCCGCAGTGCCAGCACGGGGCATAAAAGCAAACCAAGCAAAAGCTTTGGGCCCCAATTAGCTGAATGGGCAACTGGATTCATGAAACAGTAGGTGCGTATCAAATAGCAGCTCAACTCCAAATCATAAATACAATTATCTCATTAACACAAACACGTCAATTATTGACTTTCATGTCTATGTTGCCTGGATCTCTCTTATATGCTCATCTCACTGAATCTATATCTTTGTTTACATTTCTCCCATCTCACTACATCTATGTCTTTTCAATATCTCTTGTGTCAATCGTAAACATTCGCGTTTGCCCTAATTCAACAGTCCTGCACATATGCATGTCTCAGGAACGGAACCCGCTCGTAAGTCGAGGACTGCCCGTACATCACACCCACACTCATTTGCTCTGACACATACTTGCACACGCCCAATATGAATGCATGTTGAACTTCTTTCGCACCGTACGTAACCAACCGTGATAATCGGAGGTGCGATTAGCACGGTTGGCTACGCACATGCGGTGGGCTACACAACACACAATTGCTGCTCACGGACCGACCATACCTTCACACTCCCAAATGCACACAGGTACACTCACCAGACGCTCTGTCGTGACATCTCGCTGTGGATTTCGTCATTTGCAAGGTGGAACCCAACATTAGTTTCGACCGAGGAACCTCCCAGGGGGGGGGGGGGGCAGCACCACCCACTGCTGACATGCCCTGCTTTCCGATGCCCTCTCATGCCCCTTGCCCTGGAATATCATTCTCTCCCCAGCCATGCCAGGTCCTCGCGTTCCCTTGCGCTCACCGGCCCCTACAAGGCGCAACAGGTGAGTGTTGTTCCGGGGGGGCGCACTCATTGCACACACAAAGTGCCCGCCACAAATGAACGACGACGCCTCGCTGATCTCGCCATGGAGCGGAAACCGTCATCACGAGAACTCTGCTCATCCTCGCAGCAGCAGCGGCTTTTGGCTGCTGGCCATCGAACAAAGACGGCCACCGCTTTCAGATGCGCTTCTGGGGCCGTCTGGAACGCTCTCGCTTCCAATATTAGGAAGCCGCTGGAGCTATGTACTTTTAAAGATAGATTGAAAACCCATTGCTTTGGAACTGCTTTTCGTGTTTATTTTGTTGTCCTTTCCCCCACGCGCCTCCGATTAGCACGGGTGGCGACGTGCGGCGCGAAAGAAGTTCAACACACGTACAATACGTACAAAGCGGCTCTAGCCCTGAGAATGGCCGAGGGGGGTTGGAGCGGGAGTGCGGCTGGGTTCGCGTTCGCGGCGGAGATTGCGGAGGTCTGGCAGTGCCCAGATAACGCAGTAAAATATCAGGAAGTTGCTGCTTCTCACACACACACGCACGCGTGTGTGTGTGTGTGCACTCCGCGAGCGGTTTATTCATGGACTTGGGGTAATATGGTGGCCGTGACTGGATTTTGTAATAGCATGAATGCAGAGTGGAACAAGTGTTTGTTGTTGTTTTTTCGTTCACGGTAATAAATAATAAAGGCTCTCTCTGCCAGCGCTAGGCCAGTCCTTTATTTCACTTCACTCTTGAGGTCGTTTGGGTCACCGTTTAAAGTTGTGCGCGAGGGAGAGGCACCGGCGAGCAAGTGGCGAGGCGTGGGGCAGAGACGGTGCTGACAGCTCGTTCAGCGGACCTCACCGTTCACTGTTGAATTACACCAGGTGAGTCTAAGGTTTACACCGGGTGAGTCTGCGGCCAGGTGGCTTATCCCTCACAACGGGCAGCTGCTGTAGCAGCAAGCATGGGTTCGCTCGGCGACACGACGTGAGTTTTAGCTCTCACGTGCAGAGACGTTCAACGAATGCTACCGTAGCTGTTAGCGTCAGGAACCTAACGCGACACTTCTGTTTTCGGCCTTTGCTTTGCATCTAAGCGAAGGTCACAGTCTCGTAATGCGGCGGCGTAGTGTGTGTTGGTGCAAAGGAATGACTGGCCATCCGTGAAGAAGAGCTTTATAGCTCATCGGATTCCTCCAGTATAAATATTCTCATTCTGACATAATACAAGGTTTTTGGGGGTTAGATCGCGTGCATATATAGATGTGTCATTAAACCCGCCACCACGCGACACAGCCGACTAGTAAGGTTTGTCACGTCAACAGAACGTGGCCAATTCGTCACTAGTACAGCACACCGGTGTGTTGGAGAGCCAAGCCACAACATTTACAATCCGAGTACGACGTTTCGCCTGCAATTTCAACCAGAGAAGTCCCCTCTGTTTCGTTCCTTAAGCAGAGGGGGTAGGTGTGATGACGTGACTTGTGCTCTCTTCTTTGACCCTCGCATATAAATAATGTATTCATTATCTGAATTGTAAACTACTGAAAATAAATTCATAAAGGTGTACAGTTTGGTTGTGGGATTTTCTCTGGGTCCTTCGGAGTTAACCCTCCACGTGTAGAAACACGCGTTCAGAGTATTTGTCTGCTGTAAATATTCACGCGATAAGCCACTTCGTTGAGCTGTCATTTGTGGTCAGGTCGCTTCTGAAAAATAGCTACATAGATAAGTGGGCCTTACCTGGTAAGAACAAATTGTTTAGTTTAGTTTGATTATACATCTCATCTCTTCCAATGTTGCTGTAAAAAATGGGATAATCGGTGCAATCCTACTTGGTAGATTACCTGATATCACAATGGGATATTCGGTGCAATCCTACTTGTTATCTTACCTGATATCACAATGGGATATTCGGTGCAATCCTACTTGGTAGATTACCTGATATCACAATTGGATATTCGGTGCAATCCTACTTGGTAGCTTACCTGATAACACAATGGGATATTCGATGCAATCCTCCATTCAAACAAGATCGGGAATCACAATTGCAAGGCTCAAGTCAGGGCTGAGACTCGGGAAGTCAAAGTGTAGAATTAAAATCTGGCATTCACAAGGCCATCGCTGAACACGAGGCGATGACTCACAATGCCATGGCCAAAACTAATGTTGGATCTCCCATGGCGGCTAGGCCAAATAAACAGGAGATTAATGGCAATGCACGGGATGTTCATTGTTTATATTATCGCTGTCACTGATAGGACCAAAGCACCCAAAATGTGCCTGATCTCATGAGATTTTGGAGACTAAGCCAGGTAGAGGCTAAATAGTGCTTGGACGTGCGACCACAATGCACAGTAGGTTGTCGTAGGCTCCTGCGGGGCTATGTGGTGGGCAGCAAAGAAATCACCATTGTTGTACTGTGCTGTATACTCTCACGTCTATGTTCCCCAAATTTCAGCAATCCACACGGGCCAGCTGGGAAAAGAATGGTCAAACAAACCCCATGGGGAGGTTTCTCATCCAGCAGTGGATTGAAAAGGGGGCTGTACGCACGCGCACATCACAGTGACGTACGCAGCGCAATGCTCATAGAGCAACGACTTTGGGAAACCTGCCATTGACACGAAGAGCACAGGAATCAGATTTAGCCATGGTTGCAATGTGTCAGACTTAGGTTGTCAGCATGTATGAAATAAAGCAAGTTGATTTCAAACACGTGTTGGCTCCAGTGCCGCCATGGATAGCAGAACAAGAAATATTCGCGTTGTATGAAATGTGTTTCCCCATCAAATTCTGGGGGGGGTTTTCGTGGTTTTAAGTGCAAAAGATGCAATCTGCAATGGGACGGGGTTTTTTTTGCTCTGTAGATGTTTCAATCGCTTGCCTTAGCTTTGCGCTTTCGCTATTGAATACTCCGGATTTAGAAGGTCTTAATATCCCTTATGTAAGCAACAGGTTAGCCATGGGTTATTAATGCGCATCCTTCGCGTCTTTCGAAAGTAATTTAGTTATGGAAGACTAATATTTGTCCGTGGAACGATTCTGGAACATTGTGCAGTTGAACCACAACTGCGGTCACTTGAACGGAATGAGCCTCCGTTTAACGAACATTGACACGTGGCCATGGTACAATGGTCAGCACACTGGATTTGCCAATCAGAGGTCATAGGTTTAATCTCCGTTCCATACGGCAGTTGAAACAATGTTGCAAGATTTGTTAAATTCCGAGCAGTGTGAATTGGGGCAGCACATTTTAGTCGATCGGTGGGTTGGGTGTGGTGGGGGTTAAAGTGTGGGTCACCTCCACCTCTTCCAAGACGTCTGGCTAGCATAGAAGAGTAGGCCAAAGACCATGCACAGGGGCTCTCTGTATATAGCTGCCTCGAGTGGCAGGTCCCTTCCATCAGCAGTGGTGTGAGCAAGCAGTTGCAGGGCTGCCCCTTTACTTAACACCAGGAAGTGCACATTGGTTGCACGTACGTATGTGAGCTTCCTTCGCACCGTACATAACCAACCGTGCTAATCGGACGTGCGATTTCTGTGTAGAGTGGTTCTCGGGTTTATACGTTGTAGCCCTGCACAGAGGGGCAAGGGTGACAACAAGAACAATATTCTTGGTTCTTTCGGTAAAGTCACCACGTAGAAGGGAAACAATAAAAATATAAAACAATAAAATAATACAAATATAAAACAATACAATTCTCACGACGTTTCTACTGCAACACAAGCAATCATCATCATCAGGTGTGAAAACCACAGCAAGAAATTTTGAAAAAAGTTGGCGGTTTTTTGAACGTTTTTAACGTAAAAAAGCGCCAACTTTTTAAAGTTAAAAAAACCGCCAACTTTTTTCAAATTTTCTTGGTGTGGTTTTCACACCTGATGATGATTGCTTGTGTTGCAGTCGAAACGTCGTGAGCATTTTATTGTTTTATATTTTTATTATTTTATTGTTTCCCTTCTACGTGACTTTACCGAAAGATCCAAAAATATGAATCCCTGCAGTCACGAAAGCTTTAAATCAAAACAAGAACATTGTATATTTGTGGAGTTATTGCTACCTGGCCAGAGAGCATGGTTTAATACGCAGCGAACTAACTTCTTGAAATCAGTTTTGTTACTATTTTGGTGAGGCAACCCGGTCTCTTTGTGCGCGTGTGCAATCATGTAGACACATTGTTCTACGTTCCTACGATTTTATGCACACAGATTATGTGAGTCTTTCTATCATCTTTTTTTGTATTTCAATGTATCGAACGATTTGCATATCACTGTCACACCGCGATTATTGTTCCCCGATAAGTTTCCCGTGAACACTTTGTTTCCCTCACGAAATATGTACGCAATGAGAATGCTTAAAGTTTACAATTGCAATTAAAGAAACAAAAATAACAGCAATTACCCATTCAATTAATGCTTCGTGAAGTGCTTTCTGGAGTAGTGTGTGCATTCTAAGTATTCTAGATTGTGGCGTTACAATTATTAATTATAACTATTGTGGGCAGACTTCTGTTGCCTGCTCGGCAGCTGAATAGCCATTAAGCAAACTTCATTCGTTCTAAAGTACATCAAAGGATAATAATGAGATTTTTTAAATGTGATATGCAATCACAAGGTTGAGCTAAAGTGATATCTCCATAACCATATTGTGCCAAATACATATCACGGCAACCCTACTTCTTTATATAATAAAATATGCACACAGCCAATACGGTTCCTTCACATATCACAACGCATCAGCCCCACGGCCTTCTGGGAGTGAATAATTTCATCATTAATCAGTTCAAGCAAAACTCGGGACCAGCTTCGACATTCGGTGTTTCATCAGCAGTCAGGTTTGTTTGAATCAATGCTGGTGAACTGTCACGTTTTATAGGCAAGATGCCGGTCCCTTGTCATCGACAAAATTACACGGACAATTGCGACATTTCTTCCTGCACCGACAATTGATTCTGTGACACTGCAAGGTTCCCCTCTCGCATTCCGATGTTGCCACCACAAGTTGCGCCAACTCCTCCCGACCGAGTGTGTTGGCAGTATTGCGGGGGTTTTATGTTTTCCGTGGCCTTGGCGTGGCATTGTAACACCAGCAGACTCTGCCGCGAGGTGCTTGGTGGCGCAACTGAAGATGCACGTGGCCTCCTCTACAATTTCCCTCACCTCCTTTGTAGCCCCCCACCCCTCCCCCCGAGTGTCCGGGCCTCTGCTCGCACAGTCTGCACACGAATTTGGGCGCTTTCTAAGGCCTACGATCGGTGCCCAGCATCCCCACAAATGTTGCACGTGATGATCCTTGCGTTCATGCCAGCACCTATCTCGATTGGCCACTTTCGCAAAACTCAAGTATGAGTAGCTCGTTGTCAGTTCGGTTGTTAACATTTCCATAACCATTGTCTGAGTCACAACTCTGTCCCTAACCAGTGTAGGGTTGTTTGTGAGGGGTGGGGGGTTGGGGTGTTTACCCTTAATAGGTCTTGGGGTCGAAGTTTCCACTGAACATTGTGTTTTTATATATATACCCAGAGGAAGAAATGTTTTAGGAAATCAATATGTTTTGCTTTCAGACGGCCCCGCGCATTATGCCCCCACGAACATCTTCGGGCTGCAGCTGTGAGCGTCGGGCGGTTCGCCATCCGGCAAGGGAGTGGATAAATATAGCGACGGTGTGAGGAAGCGTGGAGCGTGGGTGAGGGTTGCGACGAGTGAAATCACGCGAGCCTGGAAATGCCGCTTGCCCTGTGGTCACACCGTGAATGCACAAAGACGTCCCAGGTTGCGGGCGGGGGAGTAACTTTGTCTCTCCTCTCTCCAGTTCAATGTTGGCCGCATGACGGCGTCTCTCGCACGGGCACCGCGAATTTCGCGTCGAACGGGGCCAGTTGGACTGCACCTCTCTGCGTTGTTACAGTCGATACGTCACTTCGACGTGGAAGTAATATCGGTTCAATATCGCGCGATTTGGATAAAATAAAATAACTGGACCAAGGCAGATTCTGATTCGCTTCAAAATGATAAAATATCGTTTTCCGACCGGGTGAGATATGTCACAGTTTGGTTCTGTATTATCTGGTGTAACCCCAAGATCAGCGCACCTCCGATTAGCACGGTTGGCTCCGTACGGTGAGAAATAAGTTGAACATACATACATACATAAGGCCCACTGCGGTTTTCGTTGTGCCCGTTGCGATAGGCAGCGGCGGGGACGGGTGGCTGGAGGCTCAGCATGTTCACCAGCTTGCACGTTCAAACGTCGCCTGTACGTACAGCAACATCCCTCGAAGCCGGGACTCGGCTCGAGAGAGAGAGAGACAGAGATCGCGCGCGCAAGGTCACCAACTAGCAGAGCACGTGCCAGGCGACTGATGCGATCGGTGAATCTGTGCAATTAAATGTTTAGACAAAAGCCCAATACACAGGAGAGGAAATGTTGACCTCACTGGCGGTGCACGTGGGAGAGTGGCACTGTTGTCCTCCTGCTATACTTTTTTTTACCTTACCAGGTAAGGCCCACTGAGCTATGTGTCTCTTTTTCAGAAGCGACCTGGCAATCAAAAACGACAGCTCAACGAAGTCGCCTGTCACGTAGACAATGTCTAGCAGCAGCCAAATACTCTGAACGCACGTTGTTGATTCTAAATGGGGAGGAAAAAACCGGAGGGCCCAGAGAAAAAAAATCACGTGACCACGGGGAGAGACACGCAAACTCCAAATACAGGGTGCTTTAAAGAATGTTAACACTTACATGGGACTATCGTTTTTAATGGGAAAATAATGGAGAATGCACTGTAACATGATGACAAATGTATGTTAACAGCTTTAAAACGTCAAAGAGTCTCCACTTGTACGCCATCATTGTTAACACGTGCCTGGAATCTTATCCAGGTGGTCTCCAGAGCCCAGAGGCATATTTCTTGTGGTATTGTTTTAAAAAAAAATTGAAGCACCCTGTACAGAGCAGGCGTCAGGAACTGGATCAAACCCACGACTCTCTGTATAGCAGGTGAGGTAGTTAACATCTCGCTGTGGGTGAACCCGTGCAATCAGGCGAGCCTCGAGAGAGCTAGTCGCAACCTTACGCTCTCTCGTTTTTGTACATTTGTAAAAAATATAATTATTTTATTTCCAGGCGTGTATCGCTTAACGAGAGAGATACGTTCCGCGCAAAATTGCTCGCTAAGCGAAAACCCGTGAAACGATCGCCGTTTTCCCCATTGACTCCTGAAATAGCAATTATAGTTTTAAAATAAAGTAAGAAAACATCAACTGAAACACTTTCCGCACATGAAGAACCACAGTGCTTGCTGGTGCCTGACATTTAGTGTGTGGAGGGAGCAGCAGGGGCCATGCAGGACCGCCGGTTCAAATACCACTCGTCACTGATGTTAGCCGCGACTTCCTGTCCTCAGCGTCTGCGATTAATTAGCACTGCCACCCACCCATTCACAGTGCCACCACGAGGCCCCCCTCCCCCACACCACGAACAGCTGCGGGCCGTCGTGCTCCCCCTCCCGCCACGGAACGCAACATTGATCGACCGGTCTCCGCTCGCTAAGCGAACATTTTGCTCGTTCTGGGAACAAATTGGTCTAAATTCAAATTGCTCGTGATGGCGAATTCTCGCGGCACGCCTGTATTCAGAAATGTATTGGAGCCTCACTGTGGGATATCTCCACCATCTATGCCTCTGACTGCTCGGTGACATTTTGAATTACGATTCACGGCAGTAAGTTAGCGAAAACCCCTATAATGATCGTGCACAACGCTAATACTTTCCGATGATGATTTGCGAGTAGAACATGAGCCGAAGGGTCGCTGAGTAAAGGTCATCGAATGGTTTAAATGTATTTGTAGGAACATAAATGTCAAATTCCATCCTGATGTTGCTTGGGTTTAAACTACAGTTGGCAGTTTGAGGCAGCGTGTATGTGAAGGATTGCCAACGATTAATATTAGAATTTGTTTAAGGTGTAAGAATGTTGGCTATTCTGTACTGTTTGACGTTACGGGCAGCAGAGGGCAGAGCAGCAAAATTCAAGGTTGTGCTCCCCTCGTTCACCAACCAGTGCTGACGAGCATGACGATGCATGGTCACATAACCCCCGTTAACCACCCGGCGTGGAGAGACCCTCATCCAGCAGTGGATTGACAAAAGGGCTGTCCATGTATGTGTTTCGTTTGACACTAACTTTTCCATGTGCCAGCAAAATGCTCATGTTTTAGAAATGTGGTGCATGAACCTTCTTTATAGAGCTCGGTAAAATAAACTGGACCTCTGCATTACATTTTTGGATTGAATTCGTTTCAGCTCACTTTATTAATTATCTAAGTACATTCACATTGATTTTATTCATATTGCTTCTCCAGTCCTGTAACATATTTCTTTTTCAGAACTAAGAGACCATCTACACATTTTAGTGCTTAATAAACCAAAATCAATCATGCTAATAGTGAAAATAGGATAACCACAGAGCAGAATTTCCATATTCTGTTGGAAGCTTCACGCTGAAGTATAACACATTTAACTAGGCCAATGTTTAATGTTTGCAAAATATTGTTTTTTAGGAATGATGATGGTCACATCTACCGTTAATGAGGATGATCATGGCCATCATTACTGAATGTACAGGTTCATCGATGGGCCCAAATATATATATATTTTTATAATTAACTACGTCACGTGTTTTTTTGTATGTCGTCCCACCAAATTTGGACGATGCTTTAACATCAGGCTACCAAACAATTGCAACAGTCCCGGTTGCAAAGGGCTGTCCGGCTCATTGCGTAAGCCTCAAGGGTATCATATCATCGGTATCATATTCTTGGAGGCAGCTAGAGTACTTGCATTGGGGGTGTCAGCGGTCCTGACTCAATGCTGCGACATGAGCGTTAATCACTCCATTAGCGACCGGTAATTTTCAAATTATCTGGTTAATTTTGCATGTAATACATGTGTTGATTGATTTTATTTTATCATTCCGCAACACCTTTACGCATCTAAAATGATCACTTTTCGTCTCGAACATATTCAACACTGGCCCCGGTCTCACCCTGACGCAATGTTTTTTTGTTAAAATGTATTTGATTGTTGGGAAAGTGGGAGTCGGGGGGGGGGGGTCCTGCATTGGTATACAATAGCCGATTGCGGTGGTGTAAAGTGTGGGTATTCCCACGTCTTCTAAGATCTCTGGTCAGCATGTGAAAGAAGAGGCCAGATATGGCTCTAGATGGACTCTCCAGAGCTCACTCTCGTGAAGGCTCACCCAGCAGCGATGGCGTTGGCAGGCAATTGCAAGGGCTGCGCCTTTATCCTCTCAATGTTTTCTTTCACCCGCCTTCCGCGCACTTTGTTGTTTTCCAGCGCCACGGTCCCTCCACCGAGTTCCTTCGATCCGTCTCTCTTCACCGAGGTCCACGACGTCACATGGAGCACATCGTGGTCTCGCTTCTGTTCGCCCTGACGGCGGGGGTCATCGTCTTTGCTGCGGCAGCCGTGTATTTGCTGCGGAGGATCTACAGGTGTCGCGCGCGTACAGGCATCCGCACTCGGTGTTTGCAAAGCTCGAAGCTTAGCCATGACCCCCACGTTTAGGTAGAAACGCAACATTATTGCATAATGGCAGTTCATAATGTTATGAATATAGACACACGCTTGAAAGACTCTTTGTTATTCGATGCTCTCAATTACAACGTCGTAGCTTAATTCCTCACTTGTACTCTACACCATTATTGTAATTCACCTTAGTCCGAGTTTAGGCCAGCCTGGGAAGCAGAAATCGGCCCAGAGAATTCAGGCTCTCGCCCGCAATGCCGACTAACTCGAGTTGACGAAAAATATTGGAAATCCGCGAACTAGAACACGTACTTAAGTGCTGCAGGCTCGTGGACACGCGGCATTAGTTCCTCGTCTTAAAGGAGACATCGAGGTCATTCGGGCCCACGAGTGAACGGGCAGTTAGGTGTGCTGCTGATGAGAAGATGGACATTAACCTCCGCTGTTCTTCGCAGGGTCCGTGATTTGGGATACAGCGGTGTGCGCCAAAGCGGAAACAAGTGGATGATGTCCAAACGTGGGCGGTGAGATTGCGGCCATGGGGCGATTCCTTCTCACCAAATGTTGCACCCAACTATAAAAGAACAACACCGTCACTCGCACGCACACCCATTCATAACCCCTACAAAGACAAGAATTCCCCCTCCCTAGCCTCATCGACTGCGGGGGGGGGGGGGGGGGGGAGGGCGGAGACGTTAGCGAGCACCTATTAATGTACTATGTATGTTGAACTTCTTTCGTGCCGTACATAGCCAACCGTGCTGTTTGGAGGTGCGCGGGGGGAATGACAACAAACTAAACAAAAAATCGTCCACGTTTTCCCTCCTTGTGGCGCGCACCACTGTGGCCTGAAATTAAATGCCGGCACAGCAAATCCCATCCCTGAAGTGCATTTGTATATAAACACAAATGCAAGCCTTGAGCAGCCTTTTTGGGTAAATGCTCTTAGCGAGCAACCAATGAAGGCCAGCATGGCGCACGAAGGGCATGGGTGGCCAGTGCTGATGTCCATGCACCACGATAGGGTCTCATCTTAGGATTCGCGGTCTTCGGGGTCGCAGTGGACATTTCCACGCGGCAAGGTAGGGAATGCTGCCAAGGCTACTCGGGTTGGAGTGCAGTGCACCAACCAGTGGACTGGCCGGACGCACAACATTCGCACTCAAGAGCATGTCATGAATTCAATACAGTATTGCAGCCATAACATCTGGACATCATACGATGGCTGTGCCTTTAAACAACACTAAACCATGTTGTTTTATTACATTGAGACTGAATGGATGGCCTTGTTTGTCCTTACAGGAGCGTGCATCAGAAGATATATCCCATAACCAGGTAAATGCATCGGTGGGGCTGAAATACGCGTGACTTTTGTTTCCATGAAAAGGAATTGTCCAAAATCAGGAGCGCACAAGGTTGCCACGAGCGGAGGGCATGGTATAGGATCAGTCGCGTAACGAGCGTGGGGGCACATGGAGTGCCTTGGCCACCTCGCCTCGGGTGGCCAAAGCTACAAGTTGGGGGCCCCTCCCTCGGCAACCACCATGACTTCTGTCTTCAATAACAGCGTCAAAGAACAACGACATTTCTGTAATGATGTGACGAGGCAAGAGGAAGCAGCGATATATAGCCCAGGTGCAACCGTGCGAGATAAAATCGAATATTGGGCGCCCCACGTGACCGATTTCCGCAACCCCTCGTGAGCGGACAACGTAGTGACTACGTCACCGTCTAGGATGGGTTCGCTGATCGCACCGATCAACAGCGAGCGGAGAGACCTTCGCACTCTCTCGCCGGGTTCCGGATCCAAGAGGCCTCCTCGTTGCCCACAGAGGCTCCGCTTGAATGCGAGCGGTAAAGAGGTTTGACGGGGGGGACTCGTACCCTGGCCACCCGGTGCCACTTTTGGTGGCAATGAGGCCAAGCGTAGCTATGCGAGACACGATGATAATATGAGGCTTTGAAGGGCACGGTGAAAGAGAGAGGATTGAGGGGAAGTTTGGTTGAGGAGGTTGAATGTTCATTCTATCCCGTGTTTGATTCGTTTTTGGGAATGGTGGGAGGGGGTATTGAATTATTAATGCTACAAAATTCACTTTGGGCGTTAATCAATCTTACGGTTAAAATATGCAGCTGCCATGGGAAATATTTTTAAGCCTGGATGAGCGACCCCGCTAAAAAATATTTTAACCTGGGCACTGCCCCCTTCCTCAAAAAAAGTTAAACTCTTATTGCATTTTGCAGCAGCGCTGTTGGTAACCCTAACAAGTGGCTCAGTATCTCTGTCTGTATGTCTGTGTTTCTCCACGTTTATCTTTCTCACTGTCTCTCTCAGTCTCTCCCTGCGTCTGTCTTTCCGTACCAACGTGTTTTTTTGGATGCTCAAAATAACTAAACAATCGCGTTCATCGGTGGCCCTGACGCAGTGATGTGGATCCCGTATAATCTGTTGTGGAATGCATTCTTTTATCTCTCCCAAAGATGACGTTTTCCGCATTAATTCCTCTTTAATTTTCTTTTTTTGAATGCGCCCATACTCCGTGTGGATCGCAGCCCAGTGAAATTGGTGGATTTTGAGAGGTACTACAAAATAATGTCCCGTGACTCCGGGTATCTCTTCTCGCTTCAGTTCGAGGTAACGCACCCCATTATCAGCATCATCAGCATCATCATCATCATCATCATCTTCTTCGTACGGCTGATGTTGATGGAGAGCAACGACTCTAATTTCACATCGAGGTGGCTGAGCCAGATTATTGCGTCAGGAGTAGCGGAGTGTATCGCTGTGATGATGTTGAATCGGGCATTGGGTGCTTTTGTGCTACATGCTTTGTTCTCGGTGGCCGCAGTCGCACACTGCACAGTTTTTCACGTCCCACGTGTGCGTCGGGTATCCGCATCTGTCATGGTTGGTATGCGAACGCAGTTTAAGGTTGTGACCCCATGAGCTTCGCGGAATGCGAGGCACGTTACATGAGATCCTGGTGGATGGGGAGGGTTGCTTCGTTGTGGCGAATGCATATGGGGGAGCGATGAGCGACAACACGGGAAACCAGGGTGTTGGGGTCCACTTGAGGGCACCAGCGATGCACCATCGTGTTACGGCGTTCAGTTGGACGTCGGCAAGTCGAGTGTGTTTAACACGTAGGCATTCGCGACCAATATTATTCATAGTAAAGGTTTTTGGGTTAGATCGCGTTATTTATAAATGTGTCGTAACCCTCCACCACCCGACACGGCCAATCAGCAAAAAAGTGTCACGTTGACAAAAGACAAATAGTTCACTACTTTAGCCCACCGGTGTGTTGAAGAGTGAATCCACAACATTTACAATTTTTGAGTACGACGTTTCGCTGGTAATTACATCCAGCATCATCGGGCAATTCGCCAGAATAATGAAGCTCTCCTCTTAATCGCTCTGACAGCTGCAGGCTTAGTGCGGCCTGGATGTAATTACCAGCGAAACGTCGTACTCAAAAAAATATAATTGTTGCGGATTCACTCTTCAACACACCGGTGGGCTAAAGTAGTGAACTATTTGTCTTTTGCCAACGTGACACTTTTTTGCTGATTGGCCGTGTCGGGTGATGGAGGGTTACGACACATTTATAAATAACGCGATCTAAGCCAAAAACCTTTATTATGAAAGTCGAGTGTGGGCTACTTCTGGTCCGTACTGCTGCTCCGCAGCACCTGGCTATGGAGGACACAAGGGGAGCAACCGATGGTGATGCTCGCCAGCTTTGTGCTTGCCACTCGAATCATCGCCCACGCAGCGAGTCAGAACGGGTTGGTGAGAAGAGTGCAGGCCACGAACCAGTTCAGATATTTCTCACGGGCCAGGAATCAACTCGGCTTGCCGGATTCAGAGCACAGTGCCCTAACCACTGCGCCACCGCTCCATCTGCAATATCAAAAAACAATCGATTAATATGTTTTCCCTTTCCATGTGCCCCCCCCCCCCCCCATCGCAGGCTTTGAATACAATGGATCACTACTTTCTACACTCGGATGCATGCCTTCCAGAGAACAAGCACAAGAATCGCTACGGCAACATCCTCCCCCGTGGGTGCAGAGCCGTATTTTTAATTTCCCAACTGGAGTCCAAAGCATTTAGGCATTGACTCCGTTCTTTCCGTCCGTCTGTTACGATAACGCTCGTAAATGTGTTACTGTTAGGGACCCTCTTTAAACCTGACATGATCGAAGGATTGCTCAAAATTTGGGAACGACGACGCCAGAGGAAAGAGAACGATTTTTATATTTACACCAGCGTGCTGTTACCCTGGCAGCTGCCAGCCCCGTTTCCGTGACGCTATTTAAATACTTGCGAGGACAAAACTCACGTAAGAAAGTGTCCCCTAGTCCATGCGTACGCATGACTTTTCCCCAACGTGTATGGATTAGTTTTCTCTTTTTCTGCAATGTTATTGCAAGTGCGCTTTCGGTGTGAAATTACGAGACGAGGGTTCCCTTTAAATATCTTAGAGAGCAGTGGCACCCTTCCCCCCCCTGCCCCCCCCCCGCCGCCACTTGTGCCCCCCCCCCCACCCCCCCATGTTCAACAACGGCCCACGGAAGCGGATCTCACAGGGCTACTTCTTCGCGTCGAACTTCGGCAACGGCGCTTGTTCATCAACGTGTCCGCAACTGTGTGCGCATACAGGGAACTATGGGCGAGTGAGGCTGAAGACCTTGGCTGGAGTCCCAGGGTCAGACTACATCAACGCCGAGTTCATACCGGTCAGTGCTCGCGTTTTATTTTTTATTGCGATCCATGCTTCGCTTTTGTTCTTGTACGTTCGTGATACAAAGATCCCCCGTATAGAGCCTTTAGCAGGCTCTTCGGGCAAGGGCTGTTAGAGAGCCCGAAGTTAACGGCATCATTCAAACTGTTTGTACAATTAAGCGGGGGAGGGGGGGTGGGGGGTGGTGTGTGGGGGGCTTGGGCAGGACACGTCGCTTAGAAGGGATGACGATCAATAGGCTGGGGAATTATTGCGGAGTGGCAGCCAAGGTATGGAACGCTTGCGAGAGGACGTCCACCGAGGCACTGGGGCGATGAGATCGGCTCGTGAGCCGGTGCTGGGTGGCTGACTACATTGACCGGTATACAGGAGGTCGTTAGTACGATCCCGACCCTGACGATGCCTGCTGTATATATGGAGTTTGCATGTGTGTCTCTCTCTCTCTTTCTCCCCGTGGTCGAGCGGTATTTATTTCTCCGAGTCCACCGGTTTTTTTCCCTCCACATTTAGAAACATGCGGTCAGAGTATATGACTGCTGTAAGTTTCCACGCAATAAGCCACTTCGTTGAGCCATCACTTGTGACCAGGTGGCTTCTGAAAAAAGAGCTATGTATGGCTCAGTGGGCCTTACCTGGTAAAAATAAAAGTAGTTTAGTTATTTCGTTTACTTATTGCGTCGCGGGATCGTAAGGGACGGTGGCGGCTTGGCGAGAGGTCTCGATCCAGCAGCGGAACGACCATGGCTGACGATGATCTCGACGAGAGAGCGCTTCGAGGACCTGAGTTGAAAAGTGAAGACGGTTGTCATGATTGCGTCGACGGTCACGACTTCACACCGTCGTCAGCGCCGCTCCGCTCTCGATTCCACCGCAACCACCCCCCCACCTCCCCCGTCTGTTTTTTTTTACCTTCTGACATTTAAATCTTGACGTAAAGCTTTCGCGACTGCAGGAATTAATATTTTTTGGGTCTTTCGGTAAAGTCACGTGGATAGGTTAAAAGAAAAAAACAAGAAATAACAAAATCTACATTTCGATCACAACACAAGCGTTCGTCATCAGGAACGCTTGTGTTGCGATCGAAACGTCGTAGTTTTTTTATTTTATTATTTTTGTTATTTTCTTTGAACATATCTACGCGACTTCACCGAAAGACTCAAAGAACATCCCTACTGGTATTTCTTCCCCCCTCCTCCCCCTCTCCCCCCGGTCGCTAGGGTGTCCACGGTCCCAAAAACTACATCGCCACCCAGGGCCCCCTGGCCGAGACGCAGGGAGACTTCTGGCGAATGCTGTGGGAGCAGCGCGTGCGCCTGGTCGTCATGCTCACGCTGTGCGTGGAGCGCATGCAGGTGGGCGCGACTCCCAAGCGGGGGTTCGAGATGGTCGCGCGAGTCCGCCTCGCCGACGTTCCCGTTGCGTTTCGAGGCGCGTGTCGCGTTCATTTCTAAAGCCCTTCCCACGCACCGCCCCGATCAGCGCCGTTGGCTGCTCACGACGCGAACGATGCTCGACACGCGCAGACACACACACACACACACGCGCACTAGAGGATTGTGATTCGGCACGCACGCTCGTTTGGACACGGCTGTTCATTGCTCTTACGGTTTGTAACATTTGCCGGTCGTTTCGTCGTGTACCCTTTGCCCCTACTGTGACACGTTTAAAGGGGGGCACAGTGAACGCATGTAAACGTCTCTGCAGGTGGCAACTCATTGGGTTATTTGGCGTGCATTTTCACTCCACGTTTTTGGGAGCTCCCTCGAGAACTTCGATTTGTCGAGGAACCCTAATGATAATCTCGGCTTAATGACAATTAAAGCAATCGCGGTCATGTTTGTCACTATTATAGTATTTATATATTTATATATATGATGCCGCTTATACATGTACTGTGCAGCCCTTTTCTCAAAACAATGTTGGACGAGGGCCTCCCCACGCCATATGGGTCACGAGAGGCAATCACCCATACTTCACCGCGCCGGTCAGTGCAGGTTGGCGAAGGGCGGGCGGAGTAAACGCGAGAGCACAGAGAGTGCGCTACAACAAAGCACGTGCTGTCTGCTGCGCACCGTGTAGCCCCCGCCCCAGCCAGCCGACAGCAACGCGACGTGGTCGCCCATCCAAGCGCTCGCCTGGACGGTGCATGGATGGGCAGATGATCATCAGGCTCAACCTGGAGATGGGGGGGGGGGGTGTGAAGGCAATATCGTGTCGGGCAATAGCTAGGGTGCCGCCGCCGCTACCGCTGCGGCCGTCGGTTTGTAACTCGAAGCGCGTCCCCCGGCAGACCAAGTGCTCTCTGTACCGGCCGCAGACCAAGTGCTCTCTGTACCGGACGCAGAGCAAGTGCTCTCTGTACCGGCCGCAGACCAAGTGCTCTCTGTACCGGACGCAGACCAAGTGCTCTCTATACCGGACGCAGACCAAGTGCTCTCTGTACTGACCGCAGACCAAGTGCTCTCTGTACTGACCGCAGACCAAGTGCTCTCTGTACTGGCCGGAGAAGCTGGGCTCCGAGGAGCATCACGGCGACGTGAGCGTGCGCGCGCTGGGACGGGCCAAGCGGGGCTGCTGGGAACTCCGCACCTTCCTACTCCGCTCGCTCGTGGTGAGCTGCGCGCGGGATCGGCCGCGCGCGCCTCCGATCGGCGGCGGTTGGCAACGTACGGCGCGAAAGAAGTTGAGCGTGCTTGTCGCGACGGGCGCAGCGAGCGTCGCGGGGAGAAGGGACGCACCTGGTGTGTCGTCCGTCAGCTGCCGATTTGGAATTCAGAGGTTGTGGCCTAGCTCTATGAACGATGGTAAGGATGTTCGAGCTTATTTTGTTTTGTTACACGGGCGATCCCCGTTTCGCCGGTGTCCCGGCTATCTTACAAGGGGGATCCGTGGTGGGTGATCACAGCAACATCAGCAAACAAACACAAAACCGTGGACACATTCGTCAATATTGCAGAGAACGAGTACAGGCTCCCGAAGGAATGTTGCACAGCGAACAAACGAGGTAAACGAGACACGAGAACAAAATAAAAACAAAAACGCACACCGTTGTTTCAATCATAACTTGGACCGGCCCCGTCGACGCAGACGGCGTTAACCGCTAAGCGCGGTACGTGCGATGTGTTTAACAATCATCGGGCGCGTGCAGTGTGAAGCGAGTTAATTTGTATTTAAATGGGAGGAGTAAAAAAATTGGTAAACTCGGGAAGATGTCGCGTGGTGTGTCGCGAGGACTGTAGTTTAGGAATCCCTGGTTCAAAGGGTTTGCGTTAATGGAGCCGATTAAATAACAGGGACTCCTCTACTTACGAACGTTCAGAGATACGCACAAACCTGTCCGTATGTCCAGTTGGCTGTTCGGACCGCGAGTCGTAAGTTCAACCGCCGCGCGATAGATGGTGGTGGTGGCATCTACATTTTCAGAACAAGAAGAACCAGCGGCATCTACGTCTACAGGAGAATATACAACTTGTAAAGCCATTCCCCGTATTAAGTGTGCATGCCGTACAACATGTTTGGAGTCTACAGGAGCTAAATCTCATACCTGTCAACCCCTTATCAGTGGCTACCTTATTACAGACCAATTCAGACCTTAATGATCACCCCGTGCCCCTTATAAATCTCAACGTTCATCCAACAAAGTCCCATCATAAGGCAGAAACACAAACACTTTTTTGTTGTTGCCCATATTGAAACGGCTGTACGCCGTATGGACCTGAAAACCAAATTTCCCTGCACAAGAATACGGGGTATAAACTGTTTGGGTTAACAGCTATGACAGTTCGACTTGAGAACAAATCGACTTACGAACAGACCTCTGGAACCGAACTCGTTCGTAAGTAGAGGCGTCCGTGTGGTGGGGCTGGGGAGTTGGGCAGCGGATCGGGGGAGGGGGGGGGGTGATGCCGCGTGGGGGAGGCGGGATACTGGTTGGGTGGAACTTGGCTATGGAACTTTGAGTTTGGACGCAGGGAGGAGGCGGTAGAGACTCGATAGAAGAACACATTTTGATTAGCCCGTAACCCCCGCCACCCACCCCTCTCTTTCAACCCTCCCTGGCTCTGACTTTGTGCAACCCTCCCCTCCCCCCGGTAACACTCTCTGGACAAATTGCACAACAGAACGAGCGGCCCGAGTCGCGTGTCCTGTGGCACTACCAGTTCACGGCATGGCCAGACAAGGGAGTGCCGCTGGAGGAACACACCGGCGGTCTCGTCGACTTTGCTCAGGAAGTGCGGAAGAAGTCGTGCGCGTGGAAGGCGCCGATCGTCGTGCACTGCAGGTGGAAGCCTGCCCTGCCCATGCCTCGCATATCCCGCCTCACTCACTCCCGCCTGCCTCACCCCGCCTGCCTCACCACAACTCACTCACCACAACTCCCTCACCACACCCCACCTCTCTTCCCTCCCTCACCACAACTCCCTCACCACAACTCCCTCACCACACCCCACCTCTCTCCCCTCCCTCACCCCAACTCCCTCGCCACAACTCCCTCACCACAACTCCCTCACCACAACTCCCTCACCACAACTCCCTCAACACAACTCCCTCACCCCAACTCCCTCACCCCAACTCCCTCACCACAACTCCCTCACCACACCCCACCTCTCTCCCCTCCCTCACCCCAACTCCCTCACCCCACCTCACCCGACCTCCCTCACCTCCCTCACCTCCCTCACCCATACCACCTTGCCATCTCTTTTACATTGACCCGTCTCAAGTACCTGTGGTTAATGCAGACATGATTCCTTGCAAATGGTTTTTGTTTTGTGTTTGAACATCTAACACCTGTTTTATAGTCAGAAAGGGTAAAACCTATTCTTATACTTTGATACTGGAAAGAAAGGTCCCATGTTGTAGCAGTAAATGATTTGGTGCTGTTTCATAAAGGGTTATACAGGCAGTCCTCGACTTACAAACACCCGACTTACGTTCACCCTCACTTACGAACCGTTCGACTTACGAGCAGGTCCCAGGAACGATGTTCATAAGTCGAGGCTATGTCAGGGATTACTCACAAGCAAATACATTTGTGTTGTTATTAAAACAGTGTGTGGAGAACGGCTTCTGGAGCGAGCATTCAGCACGGCCAGTGCTTAATTTCAACCGGAACAGTGAGTGTGTGATGCGCGAATCGCGCTTAGGGTGAGCCAGACGTCCTTCCTTGAGGAAAGCACTTCACTGTGACCCCCTCGCCCGCGAGTGAAACCCGTCGCTCGCAATGATGCGCGAGCGCCTGCATCGTCGAACAAAAGCGTCGAGCGAGAAACCACGGCCCCCGCGCGTGCCCGTGCGTGCGACCTCGCAGCGCCGGGGTCGGCCGCACGGGCACCTTCATCGCGCTGGACCGCGTCCTGCACGGCCTGCAGGCGACGTTCCCCGGTGCCGCGAGCGTTCCGGAGGGGTGCTCGCCCGGGGGCCCGGTGCGCGCCCAAGCCGCCGTCGACCTCCTCGCGCTGGTGGCCGAGCTGAGGCGGAGCCGCGTCAGCATGGTGCAGACCGAGGTGCTCCGGCTCGCGAGCCCGGCGGAATGTTGACTATCTCGCCCGGTGCACGGGAGGTCGTGCGTTCGATCCTGACCCTGACGCCTGCTGGATATTTGGAGTTTGCGCGTGGATTTTGCTCAGTGACATGAGTTTAGAGCATTCGGCTGCTGTAAATGTCCACGTGATAAGCCACTTTGTTGAGCTATCATTCGTACGGCAGGTTGCTTCTGAAAAATAACTGAATATTGTTGCTCAATTGGCCTTGCCAGGTAAAACATTTTTTAAAAAATTGTTTAGTTTAAAGAGATTCAGTTGTTTTTTTGGAAGCACTGTACAGCTGTGGCCAGTCACATATATTATATATATGTATGTTTGCGTGCATTGTGGTAGTGCAGCAGAACCTGGGTGATCCGGGTTCGATGCTCGCCCACGGTCAACACCAGTGATGATTATCTGAACTGGTCCTGGGCCTCCTCTAGGTCAACTCAGCCTCAAATTAGTACCTGGTGCGTTGTGTAAACATTGCCACTAGGGAGACAAAGGCGGTCAGGCGTGGTGCTGGTCACCTACCCCCTCGCGTCCCGTACTGGCCTTCATAGGTGCTCGCTAAGAGCACTTTTCCCAACAATATCTTTAACTGTCTTTGTGCTGACACGGATGTGTTTAACTGCCCTGTGCCCACCAGGAGCGCAATAGTGAATACTGTCTTAAATCATTTCATCTCGTGATCAAATTATTTTGAGGACACTCAAACCACAAATATATTCCAACCTGAAGAACACGAACAATTGTTTACTGTTGACAATGTCGCTCTGCTTATGTGCTAACTAATCAATGTTTATCTCTGTCTCTCACTACCGTCCCATTCCACTTCATATCCAGGAGCAATTCGTCTTCCTGCACCGTTGCATACTGTACATTTGCAAGTATCTGCTCAATCGACAACAACGTGAAACCGACAGCTGTGACTCAGGTGCGCTAACCATTGTGAACTTCTGGCTTACGTCTTGACTTAAAGCTTTCGTGACTGCAGGAATTCACATCCTTTGGGTCTTTCAGTAAAGTCGCGGAGATAGGTTCAAAGAAAATAACAAAAAATAATTGTAAAACAACTACGACGTTTCGATCGCAACGCCAACGCTGTGTTGCGATCAAAAGCTATTAATATTTTTTGTTATTTTCTTTGAACCTATCTACGTGATTTTACCGAAAGACCCAATTAATATTCTGGCTTACGGGTCACAAAAGATATTCATCATCATCATCATCAGCCATGGTCATTTCGCTGCCAGATGACGGCCTCCTCAACTCGAACCCACTTTTCACAATCCCACGTTGCAAAACAGCCCAACACCAAAGACAAAGATCCCCCGTATAGCCTTGGCACAGACTGTTTGGGGCAATCGCTGTTAGCGAGCATCACCTATGAAGGCCGGGCACGTTACACGAGCCCCACCACTTAGCACCTGCACACAGGCTGACTTCAGTCATCTCCTCGGTGGACGTCCTGTCGGATGTGCAGTGGAGACTCCGGTATTTTTTTAAAAATAATTTTGGTTCATGGTAAACGAGGCCTCACCCGTAATTGGTTCGTCACGGAGACCGCTCGCTTGATCTCGTGATTCGCAACAGTGTCGGAGGATTGCTGGGAAGCGGTCGCAGTCATCAATTTCTCTGCATCCATTGCGAGATCATTAAGAACATATATGCCTGTTTTGAAAGTGTGTATTTTATTAAGCGTCGAAAATTTAATTTGCAAAACGTTAAACTTTCCAGGCGTTACACGATATCGGTCAAAATTATGGAATTTGTGCATTTCCCTAGAGATTTCGTTTTTAATCTCCGCTGATCTCGCACCGTATGTGGGAAGTGGTGGAACCCCAGGGATTGCGGTTGGTTTTTGGTTGTTCTTGAGACCCGGTGATAACGTCCACTCCTTGCAGCGGGAGTTTTGAGACTTCTCGTTTTATGTAACCTACATTTGAGTACATACAGAGGCAGGTTTGTTTTTAATCACGTTCCACCATTCTGCTCGTGGTTTCCGGACCACATTTATATGCTGAAAGCTATTAATATTTAAGCATACCAAGAGGTTGTGATCCCATTTGTGAGCTGGGAACAGCGTTGTAACCGGCAGGTCGTGAGGTGGTAGCGTAACTGCTTAGCGAGTGTGCAGGCGGTGCAACTGCACTGTGGCCCACGGGACTGGGCTACGATCATCACAGGAGTAGTCGACGAAGGCCCCGTTGCGCCAACCACAGTGTCTACTTTTCACCGCATTGTAGCAGGGCCGGATTAAGGTTCTTGTGGGCCCTAGGCACTTAAGTTTCGTAGGCCTTCAGTGATAACTTTCTAAAGTTGGTTACTGCTGCTGCCCCATGCTACTACCGCCGCTGTCATTCACTTGTTGTATTACTTGGTCCAGCCGCTGGACAGATGTTGTTGCTAATTTTGCGATGAACAAATCGAGAAAATGTATCTCACCTTATATGAAAAAAACGATGAACATTTACATGACTCTGCCTCTTTGCATCTACACCGTGCTTATCCTTTGCTATATAAATATATAAGAGAAGATATCTTGGTTACATTTTTTTTATCATACAAACGAAAACAAACGTGGCCAAAAATGTTTTTCGCAGGACCTTTAGTTTTTCACAGGCCCCAGGCACAGTGCCTCACTGCATTGTCCATGAAATAGAAAAGGCTCCCAAAGCAAGGTTAGCTCGGTGTCACGATAGATCCGAGTCCCTGGGACTGCCGACTGGACGGTGCCATGATGGACACGGTCGAGATCCACTCTTTGCCTGGGCCGATAGAAACGGGGCCAGTGCCGGATTAAGCTAGCGCGGGGCCTGTAGCATATGTTATGAAGGGGCCCTAAATTAAAAAAAACGTAAATATTAGAACACATTTTTTTACTTGCATCGTAAAGTAATTGTATATATTTTATTTTCTATGCAGCCAGATAATACGACAAATTTGCTAACCTTAAACACCCAGTCGTTCATAAAAGTTGAGGGCAGTATAGTGCTATAGTAATAGAGCAAGTGCAGAATCACTGAACCGGAATTGATAGCTTGAAAGCGTTTAGTGCGGGGCCATTGAAAGTGCGGGGCCCGTAGCTGCTACATATGTTGTAGCTACTACTAGTAGTAGCTACAACATATGTACATATGTACATACAACATATGTTGTATGTACATATGTACATATGTTGTAGCTACTACAACATATGTTGTATGTACATATGTACATATGTTGTAGCTACTACTAGTAGTAGCTACAACATATGTAGTAGCTACATATGCAGTAGGATAATCCGGCACTGAGCGGGCCACGGAGTGCAGCGATGTGATCGTTCGCAATCCCTGCGACGTGGGTCAAACGGACGGACTCGCCTTGAGCGGATGATGCCATCGATGGCAGGAAGACCGTTCCTCGACGAGGCGTCTGCTTTGTGACCAAAGTCGTACAATCATCCCTCGCACAAGGGCCCATGCCAACCACGCTCGTGAGAATCTTGATTTGTTGTGTTTGAATCATGAGCTCTCTCAGCGTGTGAACAGCTCACCATCCGGTCTACTTGTCATGCAACCTTGCTGCCCTGTCTACTTTGAATCGATTGTAATTTAGTCAGTAATTTTATTATTATAGTTTTAGCCGATTCGACGACAACCAGTGAAATTTTAGTTGAGTCTTCGCGTGTGGATTTCATTTAGTCATTATCTTGAGTCTATGTGACTAAAGCAGTCAAAAAATAAGGTAAGCCAATCAGTGAATTCTGTAAATATATGTCTATATATAAACAATCAATAACCATGTGCGGTATTGGTCTATTGCAGCTTCTAATAACGCGACTAAACCATCTAATTCCGCGTCTTCGTTCATTCAGACTCGTTAAATTCATCTCGTCAAAGTCACGCGTTTGGTCTGTGGTGGGTGGCAGTCATAGTCATCGTCACGATCGATTGATTTTCATCCACACGCAGTCGTCACCGACGAACCAAAAAGAAGCCAAACACTTTATTGACGGACTCTTGGTTCTCTCGGTAAAGTCACGTAGGTAGAAAAATAATAATAATAATAATAGATCACGACGTTTCGATCGCCACACAAGCGCAACCGTTTTCAGGTGGGAGTGAAGACGGTTGCTTGTGTGACGGTCACGAAAGCTTCAAATCTAGACTTTATTGACGGTTATTTTTGGCAATAATTTCATGAACATATTTAACGCTGTTGATTTGAAGCTTTCGTGACTGCAGGAATCCATACTCTTTGGTTCTTTCAGTGAAGTCACGTAGGTAGAAAAAAATAATAAGTCACGACGTTTCGATCGCAACACAAGCAATCGTCATCAGGTGAAGCAGTTTTCTTGCTGTGGTTGTCTCACTTGAAGACGATTGCTTGTGTTGCGATCGAAACGTGACTTTACCGCAACAACCAAAGGGTATACTTAATGCTGCTTTGATCAACGGACCGCCGTTGGATCTGTGTACAGCGCTTCGTCATCATCTCTGCTGTCTCCCTTGTGGCCGTGTGTTGTGCATTCCCTCCTTCAAGTGCTTCGAGCTAACCAAGGATGAGGTGGGGGGGTCCGTGTGTGTGTGTGTACCCTGGCCTGCAGATACTGCCACCCACGAGGCAAGAGCAGAAGACGTGGAGGGTTCCATCCCTCTCAAGGAGCTTGTGACCGACTCGTAATTATTGTTCGTGCTGCACTTTCACACGAGTTTGGTTTCCATATGTGCTTATTATGAATGTACCGTATATACATTCGATGGATTACAAACTTTACTCGACTGTAAATTGACTCCACTAAGAAGGCAATATTTTAGATGTAATATAATAAAATATTATTTGGTGGCACTGCGTTGGCAGTGGTGCAATAGCATAAATAACAATAATACTTAACACGTGTGTTAATAACACTGACCTTAAAGGAAAATATATAACAGGTATTGCCTTGAGCAATCGCACTTGCTATTGAAGGGCCATGTTCTGAAACGTTGCCTATTATCCATTTTACTTTTAAAAACCAAATTATTATTGGCAAGTGTTTAGTTTTTTTGTATAATAAAATAGGTTGTCCAAAATAATTGCAAAGTTAAGTTCAGCTTTGAATTTTTTTCAATAAGTCAGTATAAGCTAATTTTATTTTCTAAACATTAACCCACACAAATACTACGTTGAGTCTATTTCTCAAGAGGCCTTCGGTGAAAAAAAGTGAACGTAAGCAAGTGAACACTGTAATTGTGTGCAAAATGTATAAAAGTGTTAAAATTACACAGTAAAGATTAATCGATAGAGAATACTAAAATATGGAAACTATGTAATGTGCAAAGAAATACAACTGAAAAAATGAATTTAATAATTAAAAACAATATAAACTTAACGGTGTAAAAAAAAAATCTGCCACTGCTGCTTTGTGTCCAACAATCCGGCTACACATTCAGGTGACACCTCCATTTTTGCGAGGTCACGAGACGCACGCTTTAATCGACTCGATGGGCACGCAGGATCCAGACCTGGGGCCGCAATAGAGTAAGTAAGATAGTGAGGGGTCCAATTTAAATATATATATACAATTTGGCCCAATCAATGAAGAAAACGTGCTGCCAATTTGCTGTGAGGCATGGGTGTGGTACAACCTGGCAACCGATTTGAAAAGCCACGCGAGCGGGCGTAATGCACGTTTACAAACACGCTTTTCGGTGTTGTCAGACAATTGCTGAGGCTCTATGAACATATAGTGGGGGTAATTCAATAACAATTAACAATACATCTGTAAAAAATAAGTGTGGAAACTACCCTGTGGGGCTTAAGAGAAGTGGGGCTGACTCGAGAACAGAACGTTTTGTTAAGGACTTTCAATATAGCGGTCAGGAAAACGCTATTGAGTTCTGTACATGGAAGAATCACGAACCCCCTCTCCCATACTTAATGGTTGAATTCATTAGACCCATTCTCAGCACTGGAGCATCTGATCAATAAGCTCAGAGTCAAGGAAGAAGAATGCACACGTACATAGGATACATTTTCAAACCTTAGACCAGTCTTAAATACGTGAGCCCAGAACGGCAATGACCTGGCCAAAGAAAATCCCTTCCTACCCCCGCCTGCTCTGATGAGCCTGGTGTGCCTGACCTCGTCGATGTCCCTGGTAACGCCATCCAGAACGTCAGGATGTTGCAATATATGATGTGAGGGAGGATATGGAATAAAACAAATTATGGATGAAAAAGTTACGGAATGGCCATTAACACATCTTCCACAAGCTTCCCGATGTCCTGATGTAGAGCGCCACCCACATACCACACATACTCTGATCCACCTCAAACCTGCCTACGTTCCTGCATATGCTAATTATTGTAAACTCGATGAAGGACCCTGTTAAACGTATGGCTGGAAACCAGAGAAAACATTCATGTCACTCAGAGGTGTCGCATTCACGGGTTCATGAATCCTCTTGCTGTCCCGCCTGGCAGGCCAGCTGGTAGGACCGCATTAAGGTTCTTGTGGGCCCTCGGCACTTCCGTTTCGTAGGCCTTCAGTGATAACTTTCTTTAGTTCGGACCGCTGTCACTCGGTTTGTTCCACGCGGTACTTCGTCTAGCCGCTGGACAGATGTCGTTACTGCTGATACGTTCATTATGTATTTTGTGCCATAATTTGACGGAAACACGCTTTGTGCCGCCGATGAGCAGATTTAATTTGAAAACCCTGCCTCTGTATATACGCTGTGCCTATCCTTCCCAAATAAATATATTTATTCAAGATAATATCTTGGTTACTTGTTTTTTTATCATACAAACAAACAAAACATGGTCAATTTATTTTTTGGTAGGCCCTTTTAGTTTTCGTTTTGGATAATACGGCCCTGTCAGCTAGTTTATTACGTGAGAACCACGACAGCTTGGAAATCCCCCCTAAATAAATGTGCGTTTGAAAACTATCGACTGCCCAAAATGTGAACTTTTAGGCTTTAATGTCAATGGTGTCAAGGGCCTTTTGTCAGATGAATGAAACGGACGCGCGCTAATCCGTACAATATTCTCCGGATCACGAGACGCCGTGGAAAGTAAGACCCAAAACGTGTGCGCGAAATCCGTAAAGGCATAACAATGAAAGTCGCGCCAACACACCTACTGGATCATAAGACGCACCCACCCCACCTTTGCATTAAATTACAGGGGAGAAAATAACACGTCATAACTCAGTGTATACGGTTATAATTCTCCGCAGGCAATGCATAATAAATTATTTGTTATGGCGTTAGATCGTGTAAATATAAGTGTGTCGTTAAACCCGCCACCACCCGACACAGCCAATTAGTAAGATTTGGCACGTTTTGTTTTACGTTTTATTTTACGTGACAACCCTTACTAATTGGCTGTGTCGGGTGGTGGCGGGTTTAACGACGCACATTTACGCGATCTAACAAAAAAAAGACCCTTTATTATGTATTTTGGTCGCGAAAGCCTCCGACTTGTTGAACCGATGGGCGACGCTTGAGTTTGACCGGTAGGTGGCGATGATTAACTGGCCGTGGCGTGAGGCTTTTCAAAACGCGGGTCCACTCCTCCGCGCCCGTGTGTCGTGACACGCACAGTGATTTCAAGAAGCACATTGAACCTTCAGGATATACATATTTTACTCTTGGACTGACCTAAGACCGCGATACAGAGTAAACGAAACAAAAAAATCATACAAGTATTAAATGTATGTTCTTTTTATATTTATTATTTTTGCACATGTGTAGAAATAGGAAGGGCAAAACGATATCAAACATTTCGTACGACACAGGAGGCACTTTGATTTCAATCTGCCACTTTCTTTTGTCCACCCAACCACATGGCTCTGTTCAGTGATCTGTCAAAGGACTTTAAACTCTGCACCCACAACAATGTTGCGGGGATACCATGGTGGTGAGATGTTAACAACCTCGCCTGGTGTACAAGAAGCCGTGGGTTGAATCCCTTCCCTGACGATGCCTGCTGTGTATTTGGAGTTTGCATGTCGCGTGGAATTCTCTCCGGTTCCTCCACGCGCGTTCAGAGCATTTGGCTGCGATACATTTCCGCGTGATAAGCCACTTGCTTGAGTTATCATTTGTAACGTAACCGGGTGAAGGACGCCGAGATGTTAACGGCCTCGCCTGGTGTGCAGGAGGTCGTGGGTTTGATCCCGACCCTGACGATGCCCGCTGTATATTTGGAGTTTGCGTGTTCTCCCCGTGGTTGCGTGGATTTTTCTCCGGGTCATCGGGTTTTTCCCTCCACATTAACAAACACGCGTTTAGAGTATGTGGCTGCCATAAATGTCCATGTGATAAGCCACTTGGTTGAGCTATCATTTGTGATGGCCAGGCCCGCTTCTGAAAGAGAGCTACATCGCTCAGTGGGCCTTACCTTGGTAAAATAAATCATTAAATATCCCCATCTTCACCATCCCATAGAGTGGTCGTTTCCCATGGGCGGCGCACGGCTGGCTGGGGTTATACGAGGGCTTCTAGCCGTCTAAAAAAAAAAAACTATTAGCTGGGCCCAGATTATTCACAGCCAGCCCACAGCGAAACCTCTCGAGGCCGCACTCGCCGAGAGCGCAAGGCCACCACGAGACCAACGCGGGTCCTCTCCGTGTGGTGCTCGCCAGACTCCACGTGTTTAAAGAAGCACGTTCATTGAACCTTGAAGAGAGAAACATTTTACTCTTGGCTGGCCCGATGAGTGAACCCGTGCCTGTGGATGCGTCCTCGGTCTCCCACGTTCTCTGCTTGTGGCGACCTTGCTTTTTAAAGATACATTTTCTCATTTTTTTTTTCTATTTCAATTACTCTTTAAATGTGGCGATTTATTTGGAAACGAAAAATATTTCCAGCCACCTCAAAATTATTTCAGCTCCCGAAAGAATATCTCCACCCTCTGCCTATGAACCTCGTAGCACTCCATGTGGCTTTTATTGGTACGCGAAGCGTGCCATAGGCCCCGTGTCTATCCAAGCATTCACCTGGTGGTGAATGCCACTGTTTTGTTAAAGTTTGCATCTGTACGTATCCGATGTAATTTTATATATATGCATCATGCATACCCCCATACAGCATATGCATGTTGGGTTCTACTGAGTAATGTGCATATTGTGTAGTATTATTATTTCTATTGAGTATTACGTAATACATATAATAAAATGTACGTTATAATTTGTTGTTGTGCGAGCGTACGTCTTCTAAAGTTTGCGAAACGTGTGGATTCCACTGCCAGACAGGAGCCCCCACAGAGGCCCCCAGGCACTGTGCGGGTCGTGGCCGTGAAACTGGCCAGGCTTCACCACGCCGGCCAGTTAGGTCTGATGAAGGTGGCACAGGCGTGAAATCATAGAAGTGCCACACAACAATGGAATTATTTGCAGTGCGCCCTCTGCTGCCCACCACGTCGTCCCGCAGCCCTATGGCACACCTGTCTGTCTGCGCATGCCTTCCGATATTAGGAACCCACCGGAGCAACGCACTTTTATATCAAGATTGAAAACTCATTTCTTTAGAACTCCTTTTTGTGTTTAGTTTGTTCCCCCCCCACCCCCACCCGATTAGCGCGGTTGGCTACGTACGGTGCGAAAGACGTTCATACATACACACATGCCAGTCACCCATCCCATCCCTGGCCGGGTTCAACTCTGCTTTAGGTTTCAAGATCTGACGAGATCGGGCACATTCCAGGTTATTTGGTCATAGGGTAGGAACTGTTCACGAATTATAAATCGCTATCGCCACGTTCCTCAACAGCGGAAGCTATCCCATCAATGGGTATATGTGCATGAGCGTGAATAATATATGGATTTTTTAAATATGTATGAGGAGCGTCGAGCATGTTTGGTGTCTTGGTGCCCTCAAATAATGTAGGTGCCTGCTGCACGTCTGAGTTGTATTCAATGCATGGACTTATTTTTGTTGTTGTTTGTACTTTTTAGTTTTGGTGGCATTTCTTAATTTGTTTATTCATTTCTGATTTTTCTTGGCAGTAGGGGGTTTCCATTTGCTTAGTAGTGGCTGTATATGTGGGATTTGGTCGTCATATGTGATTAATGTACAGCGTTGTGGGATGCTACTAGCATGAATGACACTATATAAAATGAAAGTATTGGTATATATTTTTTTTATTACGTGTGTACATGTTTGCGGCCTCACGTGCCGCGTGCGTGATGCCACCATTTACGTATTGGTCCACGAATGGACAAGTGTCAAGTTCAGATCCCAGCCGATGATTGGGCGAGAGGGGGAGTGGGGGAAATTCGAAGGCACAATCGAAAATACCCACGTGACCCTTTGCCACTGGCGATCGAACCCCCAACGTTAGCGCGAGATGGCAGAGACACGGGCAGAAACAGCACCCCCCCCCCCCCCCCGCCCCAACCCATCGGCCTCGATCCTTCACCCCCATCACCGTTGGCCTTTTGCGCCGCTCACGGCCACCGCCGTTCAAAAACTACCTCGAGCGCTCCCTTCTGCTCAGTTCTCCAGGTCTCCGGGGTCATCACTCTCCCCGTCGATGACTCCCTCATCGTCCGAGCTCTGCACGCGTGCACACAGCAAACACGTAGATCACGGGGGGGGGGGGGGGGGAGGTTACAGGGGGGTGAGGGAGGCGAACGGGAGGATGGAGCTGCGACGGACAGGCTTTGTGAAAGATGGAAGCATCATTTGGTGGCGTTCACGCAGTTCAGGCGAGTCACAGCGTCGGCTCTCGGATGTGCGTTTACGCTGGACCACGTGTTTGGTCAGCGCGGTGTCGAGACGTCGTCGGAACGTCGGACACCACGCAGAACAACGGGCGACACAACTCGATAACTCGTCAGAGGGCTGCACAGCGCAAACCGTGAAAATCTATGCCGCTGTTAAGACGTTTGGGATCTTCCGACCGCAATGCGCGCGTGTGAAGCCTGGGTGGTCGACGCTTTTAAACGATGGTGCTGGAGAAGACTTTTTGTGTATCCCCGTGGGAAGCAAGAAGTACCATTGGAAGTGTACTACAAGAGATTACCAAAATATATCTAGAGTTGTAACACGTGTGTAGAAAGATGGGAACGGAAGTGTTTTGGACACGCACGGCTACAGGTGTAATCGGGAAAACCTGGAGAAACTGATGATGATCGGTTGTTGTTGTTGTTGTTCACGGCCGCATGGTCAGGAGCTAAATGCCAATGTGCGAGGTGCGCTCGCCACGAGAGAGTTTGTGTCGTTTTTCGTACCGTGTAGCATGCAGTGTCGGATTATCCTAGTAGAAAAAGTAGCTGCACATGCTACGGGCCAGCACTTTCAAGGGCCCCGCGCTCAATGCTTTCAAGCTATCAATTCCGGTTCAGTGATTCTGCACTTGCTCTATTACTATAGTACTATACTGCCTGCAACTTTTATGAACGACTGGGTGTTTAAGGTTAGCGATTTGTCGTATTATCTGCCTGTATAGCAAATGAAAAAATACAATTACTTTACTTTGCAAGTAAAAAATGTGTGCGTTTGAATATTTACGTGTTTTTTTATTATTTAGGGCCCCTTTATAACATATCCTACAGGCCCTACACTATCTTAATCCGGCACTGGTAGCATGTGTGTATTGCTGACCATCTTCTTCGCACCGTACGTAGCCAACCGTGCAATAAGCAGGGGGGAGGGATGGAGGGAGGGAGGAGGGTGGTGGGACTCACGCCGGCCGTTTTCTTTGCCGCCTTCCTGAGTTTCAGCTTCAGCGCCAACTCTTGCTGCATCTGGTCCAGTTGCCCCGTGCGGTCTGAGTGCATCACGGACAGGCACAAAGACAAAGATCCCCCGTGTTTAGCCTCAACAGACTCTTTTGGGGGCAAGCGCTGTCCGCGAGTATAACCTACGAAGGCCGGCACGGCACACCAGGGGGTGGATGGCCAGCACCACGCCCAACCGCCTTTGACTCCCCAGTTTTGCGATTTTTACACATCGCTCCAGGTACCGACTTGAGGCTGATTCGATCTGGGGGCCGGTCACACAAAGACAAAGATCCCCCGCATAGCCTTGACAGACTGTTAGGGGCAAGTGCTGTTAGCGAATAGCAGCACCTACGAAGGCCGCCACGGCACACGAGGGAGGTGGGCGGCCAGCACCAAGCCCGGCCATCTTTGCGTAATCCAGCGGCACACCGGCACCAGGCAGCGGACAGACGATGTAATATACGTAAAGCCTTGCCTTTCCACGCCGCAGGTATAGGTGGCTTATGTTTGGTGCCCTCTTGCTGCTTCAAGGTGTTGGGGTAGTTGTCCACTGGGGCCCCCTTAGGGCTTCCCACGATGGGCGACGGAGACAAGGGGGGTGGCAAGGGGGCCCCCTTGCCCCTGTCCATTGCCTGGTGAGAAAATAAAAAAAAAACATGGAAAGATACTGAGAGGAGGTTGCACGTGCGTTGAAAAATGTTTGCCTGCGGGCCTTGGAGTTGGCGCGAACGCTGAAGCTCAGGAAGGCGGCGAAGAAAACGGGCCTGGGTTACAACAGTTCCCAGTCGCGACCGCTTGCCAAACGAGACACTGTTTTTTTTTATTCTGAGCGTCGTCAGAAAACTGTGGCCTTATGAAGCCAATCGTGAGCTTTGGATTTCCAAATGGTGACAATTAAAGAATCAATGTTACCGATGAAAGCGATGCGTTTGTTTTACCTCTGCTGGTCAGGGATTGGGGGACTGAGTGAGCAGTAATTAAGCTTGTTGGAGCAAAACATTCAATGGTTTGGCTGCGGCCATGGTAATATGGAATTACCACCACTACATCAGGGTTTACATTAGACATGAGCACCAGTGCTCTCTAGTGCGGATAGACACTCGGACTGGACTCTGACTGCACTGTAACGGCTACTAAACTAAACTATTTTGTATTTTACCAGGTAAGGCCCACTGAGCTATATAGCTCTTTTTCAGAAGCGACCTGGCCACAAATGATAGCTCAACGGAGTGATTTATCACATGGACATTCATGGCAGCCACATACTCTAAATGCGTGTTTCTAAATGTGGAGGGAAAACCCGATGACCCGGAGAAAAATCCACGCAACCACGGGGAGAACACGCAAACTCCAAATATACAGCGGGCATCGTCAGGGTCGGGATCAAACCCACGACCTCCTGCACACCAGGCGAGGCCGTCAAACATCTCGCCATCTCGGCGTCCTTCACCCGGTTACGTTACCGGGGTGGGCGTGGGGTACAAGATGGAGTTGAGAGGCTCCAGGATGTTGTGGGGGACGTATCCCATCTGCTGGGCCCCATTACTGGCCACCTTCCACCACGACCGAGTCGAGTCCAGCACCTGGTGAGGACGCGAGAGAGATAGAGAGAGAGAGAGAGTACGTATGCATGCATGTTGAACTTCTTTCGTACCGTATGCGGCCAACCGTGCAACAGCAACGATGTACGTTTGTTTCACGCGACTTCCATTTACCGTTTTGCAAGTCGATGTCGAAACTTGACCGCGAGGTTAGGATTGGCGTTCGAAATGTTGCAGACATTAGGGTTGCAGTGCCATGGCCAAATCACACAGATTGACTCATCGAATTGATGGCACGCCAAAGTGTGTCGCACGCAGTTAGGATTTGCAATTACTCGTGGCTGAGCTGAGGCCACTAAAACCTTCCAGACTTCATTTCTAGAGTAATCATGAATGGGCAGGAGCCTGAACACAATCCCGGGATGTCAGTGACGCTGGCTCAGTGCCTCTGACGTGGCGAGAGTGAGAAAGTGAACCGGTGAAAAAAAGACAGGGCAATCTGAGAACCAGAGTGAGCCGCTGTGAAAGTGAGGCAGTGAGTCGTCGTCACCCAGCACGCCGCCGTCAAAGTGAGGCAGTGGGACACCGCTGCCCACTGCCAACCTACACCATTGGCCAATATTTTGCCGCTGTCAACAGTGAGGCGGTGAGCCCAGACCTGGAGGATGTCTCCAGCAAGCACGGAGATCTCGCTGCTGCTCCTCGCCACGTAGTCGTAGAGGCAGCGCGCCATCCCCCTGCACGAACAATCGATTTCCGCTTCACGTATGCATGTGTGTTGAACCTCTTGCGCACCGTACGTAGCCAACCGTGCTAATCACACCGTACGTAGCCAACCGTGAAAATCGCACCGTATGTAGCCAACTGTGCAATTCGCACCGTACGTAGCCAACCGTGAAAATCGCAGAGTATGCAGCCAACCAGTGCGTATGTAACTGCGACGTGCAATTTTGATTTCCTGCTGCATTACTGCCATCCGTATCTCCGAAATCGTCATATTTTTGTGTCTGTACCAAATATCCATGATAATAATACTTTCATTTCATATAGCGCCATTCACGGTTATTACACCCGCAGTATTAATCAGGGCAGTCACCGGATTCGAACCGTGAACCCCTGAAGCAAGCAGCGAATGTGCTTTAGTTAAATGATGCTGATAAACCACGTGAACATGAAGGTGTACAACCCGGTAAACAAGGAACGTTGGGCCAACGGTGGCCCAACGTTGGCCCACGGGTTCTAACCGCATGCCAACGTTGAAAGTTTCCTGGGAAGCCCTTGCGTTTCATGCGTGCATAGGGAGAATGGTGATTTGTTGATAAATGGCCATGTGGCACTACAACTTTCTTTCAGAACCAAAGATTTCTGAGATTTAAAAAAAAAACTAAATATATTGGGTCAATCCTTACATAATTTGATACTTTCGCTTGAGCCTGGACTCGTGGAAATTGACTTCACCTCGTGTATGTGTGTCTGTATGAATTTATTTCGCACCGTACGTAGCCAACCGCGCTAATCAGAGGCGCGCGGGGGGAAGGACAACAAACTAAACACAAAAAGCAGTTCTAAAGAAAAACAAATCTACGTAGATTTTAAAGTGCACTGCTTCGGCAGCTTCCTAATACCAGAGGGAAGAGCGTTCCAGATGGCCACAGAGGCGCGTTTAAAAGCGCGCGACGCGGTGACCGCCTTTGCTCGACGGCTAGCCGAAAGCCGCTGCCACAAGGATGCCCGGAGTTCGCGTGATGACGCTTTATGCTCCCTTGACGAGATCGGCACGGTGTTGTTCATCCCGCACCGCCCACTGCACCTCCACAGCCCCCCCCCCCCCACCCCAAACGCCTTCCCCGCACCTCGTTTGTCCCGGTGGCCACGCGCTGGGGCTGGGCTGAGACGGCTCGGCGTCCACAAACGAAACCTTCTTCTGCACGTGGGGCTGCCACCCGCTTCGGAACACGGGCACGTAGTGGGGCACGGGTGCCGGCTTATTCCACGCGGACCTGCACACAACGACGAATGCAAATGAGATTCCTCTCCCGTATAGCCTTGGCGGACTGTTGGGGCAAGTGCTGTTAGCGAGTAGCACCTATGAAGGCCGGCACGGCACACGAGCGGGGGGGGGGGGGGGCGGTGGCCAACACCACGCCTGACCGCCTTTGTCTCCCCGGTGGTGATGTTTACACACAGCACCAGGGTACTCATTTGAGGCTGAGTCGACCTTAGGAGAGGCTCAGGACCGTTTCAGATAATCGTCACTGGTGTTAAAATAATCGTCACAGTGTGCAGGGGAGCGGTAGTGTAGCGGTTAGCGCGCTGCACTACGAACCCGGCGACCCGAGTTCGATTCCCGCTCACGGCGAACACTCAGTGACGATTTCCTGAACCGGTCCTGGGCCTCTCCTAATGTCGACTCAAATAAGTAACTGGTGCGATGTGCAAAACATCGGCACTTGGGAGAGGAAGGCGACCGGGCGTAGTGCTGGCCACCCACGCCCTCGTGTGCTGTGCTGGCCTTCATAGCTGTTCGTGAAGAGCACTTCCCCAATATTATGTTAAGGCTATACAGGGGACCTTGTCTTTGGTAGTGATGGGCAGAGTGCTTATGATTCTGACAGTGGTAGCAGTGATCTTAACAGTGATGACAGTGATTATAATAATGATTCAAGATGGCACAGCGAGCGTACAATTCAAGCAGCACACAGAGGGCATGGCAATGAAGGTTATGTACAAGGCAGAGGGCAGCGGGCAGGATAGCAGTCCCCAAACTACGAACAGGTTCTGTTCCTGAGATCCGTTCGTAAGTCGAATGGTTAAATGCACATACGGTCCGTGTTATAAAACGTGTTCGACAAAAAAGGGAAGCACTGTTCAGCTCATTAATAAAAAAAATCATTGTACATCTTCTTGGTTATTTCGGTAAAGTCACGTACAATGGAAATAAAATAATAAACATACAACATAATCAAATGAAATTGTATCATTTTATTTCCATTCTACGTGACTTCAGCGAAAGAACCAAGAAGATGAATCCCTGCAGTCACGAAAGCTTTGAATCGAAAAATTATTGTACATGTTCACGTAACACTGAAAATAGTTCCGCCATTCGGTTCGCAAGCGCGAGTTCACGTACGCAAGTCGGATTTGTAAAAAAAAAACCCACTAAATTTCTCATGGAAGGTCGTTCGTAAGCGCGGATGTTCGCGAGTCGGGCGTTCGTAAGTAGAAGACTGCCTGCGTTGTGAACACAAAGAAGAGGGGTTTGTGCCCGACCTTGGTGTGCTCCACGCCTCCCCGAGGCTGCTCCACAGGTGGATGCCGTCCCCGCTGGTGCTCGGAGCAAGGAGAAGCAGCGCGTCGCGAGTGAGCAGGGGGCTCACCACCGTCTCGGCCAGCTCGGGCCCCCCGCTCTCCTGCACTACCTGCGATTACACAAGACGGAGACGAAAGTCCCCCGAGTAGCCTTTCACACACTGCTGGGGCAAGTGCTGTTAGCGAGTAGCACCTATGAAGGGCGGCACGGCACACGATGGGGTGTGGGTGGCCAGCACCACGCCTGGCCGCCTTTGTTTCCCCAGTAGAAATGCTGACGCATTGTGCCCGGTACTTATTTGAGGCTGAGTCGACCTAGGAGGAGAAGCCCCCACACACACGCGCGCACCTACCCTGGTGAGCGTCTGGAAGAGGGATTGGACGTGTTCCTCGGCAGTGGGGTCATGGAGATGATCCTTCAGCCGAGCCTGAAAGCACAAAGCGTAAGGTCAAGATCTCCTATTGAATATCATGTGTGCAGATTACACCACTGATTACTATTCTGGATCATAAAACATTCCGTGCTATAGTCATAGGTATACTAGTCATCTGAGAAAGAGAGCCTTATAGATTATCGGATTCCTCTGGTATAAATAAAGATTCTAATTTCCGTGACATCGGTGCTTATATATAGGGTATCCAAAAATGCATCCATATATTCCAATAATCAGCCAGTGAAAAAAAATTGCTTTCTCGATCCCCAGCCCACACTGCCCGAAACGACTCCGCCCCCCCCCCCTCAACCTCTGACCCCTCGCCCCCACCCACAAACCAAACTTTGTTGACCCGTACAGACGCGGCATGCCCCTTCCTCTCACCAGTAGGTTGAATGAAAACTTAATTTTCTGCAGGCACTCGATGAACTCCTCCTCGGTGGGCGGCTTTGCACGCAGGGTCAGCACCCCGACTAGTGGACAGCGGCGCGGCCCACGGCGGCACGAACGCACGCACGCACGCGTACGTACGGACGGAGAGGGCACACACACACACACACAGGTGCACGGGTGAGCGTGGCCATGCCGCACGGGCGTATGAGAGCGTGCAAGCACGGGCACGCAGACGCATTCAACCGCGTGAAAACTATCGGCAGTGGGCCTGCAATTTTCGTATCAGGGCTCGACGACACGTGTGCCCACTATTGAGTCGTGACATAGCCGACACGGTGGCGTGTAGAGTAGTATCGACGGCAGTGCCGGATTATCCTCGTAGCAAAAGTAGCTACATATGTAGCTACGAGCGCCGCACTTACAAGGGCCCCGCGCTAAATGCTTTCAAGCGATCAATTCCGGTGCAGTGATTCTGCACTTGCTCTATTACTATAGTACTATACTGCCTTCAACTTTTATGAACGACTGGGTGTTTAAGGTTAGCGATTTGTCGTATTATCTGGGCTGTATATAGCAAATGAAACAATGCAATTACTTTACTATGCAAGTAAAAAATGTGTGCGTTTGAATATTTACGCGTTTTTTTATTATTTAGGGCCCCTTTATAACATATGTTACAAGCCCCGCACGAGCTTCATCCGGCACTGATCGACAGGGCTCGATTATTGCGGCCGTCTGGAACGCTCTTCCTTCTG